TATATTTTGGAATCTAATATTTTTGAGTGTATTCATTAAAATAAAACTATAAATTTACCATGCTTTTATAATTATTTTTCACAACATACTCCCGACGTTTCGGTTGCTTTGTTAGTTAGTCAGTAGTTTCTGCAAAGTAACCGAAATATCGGAAGTACGATATTGGAAAATAATTATAAACGCGTAGTAAATCCGAAAAATTATAGTTTTATTTTATTTTATTGATTTATCATCAATATGAATTTCTCTCGAAGCCAGAACTCCATTTGTTCTACTTGTCTTAACCTAAGGATCCGAAACATTGAGACTTACCGTAGAAATTGCCATAACTACAAAATTATTTATTTACCAATTCTACTTGAATTTTCCATTATAAAATATTTGATAAATAAATATAACAGACTGTTCTTTTATTATTACTGGTGTGAAAATAATAGATGTATGTATAAGGTCACAATTTGTTATCGCCTTTTATTTTAAACGATTAAACTTTTGAAAGGCGCTAGAATGTGTAATAACAAAAATATATGATTAAGCAGATGATTACTTTTTCGTTTTATTAAAAGCGCCATCTACTCTTTGTATCACGCGACTACATATAAAATACTACTATTGCCATATACCAACAGGAACTCTTTATACGTAGTGTTATATGGTTCATATTTAAAACTTATATATATAATTTAATTTCAATAATATTATTATCTTTATTCAATAGTTTCAGGGTGATGGCGTTCCAATAATCCTCTTTATTAATTTGTCTATCTATACCAACTAAATATAATAAATAAGTTATTAATTTTTAACAAACAATAATAGTTACAATAAATAAAAGCTTGAGAGACCAGAACACTGTTTAACGTCCTAATATACCTAGTAAAATTTCATCACATTCTGATCAACAGGAACAGAAGCCATACGAAAAATAAATTGTATTGGTTCTATTTACCTAAATAAATTTAAATTATTTTTTCTTTACATAACTATATTGGTAATAGAATTCTATTATACACGATGAAGACCGGCCCTTTAAGAAAATATATCTAAAATATTATATAGATAATAGAATATAATATAATGAACACTAAAATTGCAAATCTGTTCAAAATAAACCTATCAGAAGTAACTAGCAATTCCGCATTGGAACATCACAGTCCTAATAAACACACAATAACACCGAGCAATGAAGGTGTCCCTTGATCATTTCAATCTAAATCGAAACGACCCGGAATTGGAATTGAATGGGAATTTCTTTGTATCGTTTTTATTATTATGGTTATGCAGGCGCTGCCTGATAACTATTTGATATAGACAATCTATTTCATACACCACAGAAGATCGTTATTATGTGCCTCCGATATTTAATAATAAATTTAATTCTAAATATTAAATGCTTAAACTAAACAAACATTCCTAAATAAAATCAACATCAGAACGTATTCAGGTTGGAAAGTAAAAGTAATTCAAAGAACTTCCTAACACCTAATCCTTCCGTAAATATAATTGAGCAACTTTTTACCTCGAAAGGGCCACTTGAGATAGATGGCGGAGAAAGGTTTATTTTTGTGGGCACTTAGTAAAACATTATGTAATCAACGAGTGTGTATCACGTAAAATTAAGGTCTGGCCACTTCGAAAGATAAATATTAGTGGACCCAGACCCGAGATTATCTTATGCTATTACCAGAATTAAACTAAACGTACCAAAGTTTTCAGCCTTAACAATGTAACCCTAAAAATAGCGCCATCACATTATCCTTTCCATTTTGACTACAAATACCGAAATACCTCGCAAATGTGTTAATGGTATGAAATATTTAGCACAGCCATAGTTTAGGGATACATCCTCATAACTCATAGAACAATTCAGTGTTACAAAAAATAAATATATCTAGACTAAAATATCTTAGAAATTAAATTATATAAAATGTCCAAAATAAAACATCGTTACTCAATGTTATGTTGATTGCATTTCCATTACACCAAGGTTTTGTTCCATGAAGGAAACAAGTCGAAAAGCAATTATGTCACCCATTCCATAACTAAGAAACTTGTAAGTCGGAGACATTTAGACATGATATTTCGGGAAGAAAATAATATTTTATGTGATAATACACCGGTAAGGATATAATATAGTTATTTGACAGCCAAATAAACATCAAATATTTATATGTTTGCATTTGTGCGTTGTCTTATACAATTTTAATCAAAAAAAAGCAATATCTTGGTAATATTTTGATGCTCGGTAATATAATGAGCAGGTTTTTAGTGGCGATCGTAAAGAGAACGAATCTAACAATGGTCCATAATAAAACATGAAAAGTGCGTTAACGATCTATAAAATTGTGTTTACTATATACAGAGGCCAGGTCAGGACTGTTTAAATGTATTGAGCACTGTATGAGATATTTCGCTTACGACAAATGGATGAAATTACTTTTTCTGTTGAATATATTACAATCTTTACCATAGTACGTTTATAACTTCTTTTATGATTCACATTTTCGTTATTGTTTTGTTCCTCTTTACATTAACTGTCTTTTATGTTTTAAATGTAATATCACAGAAAGGAAATTCGAGGTTGAAATTTATTCAATCAGAATATTATTTAATGTTTGAAATATGTATTTTAACATTTCATTTAAATACCTAAGAATAAAACCTCGTTAACAATTTATAAAAATAAATAAACATTTCGTTTATATGTAATTTATTATTTAGGTTTTATGAAACGAGTGCAATATAAATAACGAAAAAGCACCGAGTGAAGTCAATAAAGTATATCTTTTTCATAAAAGAATATTACGGCAAGATGTTTAGTTGGTTACTCATAAACTTGGAGCGAACATGTACGCAGAATTACTTAGTGGTAACGTAAAAGATATGACTCATTCGTTTTTCCACACTAACTAAATTATTTCAAGTCGTAATATTTTTACCGTCGCTTCCGTATTATTAATTAAGCATGCATTCAATAAAGTCATCTTAGTTTGAGTATTGTTTTTGCAAATTAATTTATATGGAATATCTTATTCTATTTGGTATGTGTAGTATTAATTTTTTCAGGTTTTGTTATGAAAATTAATATAAAGTGTTACCAGGTGTAAATTTATATTGTATTGGATGTTTTCAATCTTTTCCAAGATATTTTAAAAACTTTAACTTGACAAAAGACTAAGTAACTAAGGTATCAAAATTTATATATAATAATTTTTCAGTCTTTATAGACTGGCGTGTTGAAATATTTTTTAAAAGATAAAATAGAATATGTACCTATGTAATGTAAATTTAAGTGTCTTTTTAATATAATCGAATATGATTTAATTAAAACAAATTAAATGACCATATTGACTATCCTATAAAGTACTTTTCATATAGTCTTCAATGATTTAAAACTAAAATCACAAATGAAGCTTGAAAAATATTATTTCAACTTGTTAAGTTACTAAATATCTATTTCTACTTAGTCACTTTAATATATCAATTGAATAATGATTTCCTTTGTAAATGTTATTAATTCAATATAAAATTAAATTTAAAACGCGTATTCAACTCCAAGTTAACCAGATAATGTTATTGTTGAGGTTAAATGATGCCATTCAAAATATTTTACTCGGTCTGAAGTTGTGATCTGTTTGTCTCTTAACAATTAATTGTTTTGATTAATTGTTCTTTGAAAGTAACAGGACGAAGTAATAACGTTATAAAGGTTGACAAATACGAGACCAGTACCTTCATTTAACTGTCCCTTTTATACATTTTAATAAAGTTCGACATCATTTATCATAACTCAATGTTCCAAATTGTTTCATCAAATAAAACGGTCGCAAAAATTGTACTACTTTCATTTTAAGGAAAATATAGTACCTTTGTACACGAATAAAATGATAAGTAAAGTCAATATAGCAGTAGAAATTAAGCAATTCATGTTCGTTTTAATAAGTACAGTATTTAAGTAATAAATCTTGTTTTATCAAAATCTCACCAGTGAATAAGTTTCATTAAATAAAATGGTTTAGTTTGTTTAAGTCAAGAAACGGCAGACAAAAAATATATATTTTTTTTTTATAAGAAAATGTTGCATATGTTTATGTACTTCATACTACGGTAAAACAGAAACTGATTCACGATTTTTTAATCAGTGAGAGAAAACCTTTAGTTTTTTTTCTTTTTCTTATTTTAAGAAACTAGACATCCATACATGAAGCAAAATATTTTAATCAAGTATAGCATATATTAATAATATTCATTAACTTTGAGGTACATTACGACAAAAGGTATATTACGTTCTTATATTAAATAAGATTACTATTGTAATGTAATCCCCAAGTTGCCGCTCGAACGTCAATATAATACACATAAAATCAAAAGGCTAAATTATTAACGATCCCCGTACAGAACATGTACAGTTTATAAACATCAAAGGTTCAGTGTATAAATATTATTAAGAAACGGAAAGGCATACTTTAGGAGCTTTCAAATATTCATGAGTTCAATTGAATTGAGAGTTAAGGGTTCTTATAAAAGGCTATGATTAAATTGAAATACAATTTGTAAGTCGGAATCGCCCAAATATTTTCCGCTGTTTATTTTGAAGATACCAAAGTAATTAAATGAAAAATCTGTATATACATTCATTTCTGATTTGAGATTTCTGGAAACAGCTGTTATTCATTTAAAGTTAAATATTTATTTATTATTAATGAAAGTACATAACGTGCCGCCCAAAATTAAAAACACTTTTAAGTTTAATTTCTGGGAACTAGCAAAAGATTTTTTGAATATTTTTTAAATACATATATAAAATTTATACATATTTTTGATAATTTTATGTATATTAAATAAAACATCCATTCCTAACTGGAAACGGTGCATTCTTTTATGATGTTAACCCCATTGCTATTCATAATAAAAAAATTATCTCATATTTGGGTCGACAGGCAACATCTAGTCATAAAAACATATCTTTAAATGTAAATAATGGTTTGCTAAGTACTTACATCAACGTCAATTCCAGGTTGAGCGAATATTCTCGTAAACGGGTATTCTTTAGGTAGGTAGCTGAAGAACTCCTGTCTGCCTCTGTACCACTTGACACTGTAGAGAGTCTCGTTTCCTTCGAGAGTCCATTTGCAGCCGAGGAGCACTGTGTCCCCAAGTCTGACAGCAGACGGCGCTATTAACTGCACATCCTTTAGCGCTATGGTATCTGAAGCAAAGCAATAAATAAACATGAATTATAATCCTTTAATAATGTATTATTATAAATAGCTTGTAAGTTATTTTCCGACGCATAAGTATAGTGGATTTAGATTGCTGATTTTTTTACTTCTTCTTATTATGACAACAAAACATTATCTATAGTGACCTACTAATAAGTAACTATTAAAACAATAATTATGTCTTACAAATATTAACTGTCAATGAAGCTTTATCATATTTTTACGTATTTAAATGAAATGCCTTTTGGTTTTATTCAAATCAGAATTTTCGGGAATTTTTAAGCGTTTAGATTTAATTTTGCTCTTTTGTAGTTATTTGAACAGTACCTATTAAATTTTTTCGTTTTACTGAACCTAAAGAAGGATACAAATTAATCTATTTATTTTGGATATAAAAAAAAACACATTCTTTCTAAACACGTCTTCATACTCGCTAGATTTTAATTTTATACTAATATTACCGTAATCTCTTTAACAATTACATCTAAATGTATATTTAAGAATAACTCAAAGCTTACATAAACCGTAAAAATAATGTAACATAATAATTATACAACTCCACTTTTCCTTGTAAAATTATAACATTACTGACTGGTGTATAAACATTTATATTTATGCTACATGTAACAAATATTTTAATCAAAATATGCTTGTATTGTACTTGGCGTAGTTCAATTAAAAAGAAAAATATGTAAGACGTTATTAGATTTGGGTCAATCCTATATTGAATAACGATACAACCCTCGGATAAATTGCGTAAAAATCGGGTCCAATAAGTCCCAAATCAACTGCACCCACCTCCATTATCGGAATGGTCTACTCAAACCCATGAAGAAACCAATTATGTTTTATTTTATATTGAATCGCGTGTTAGAGAAAATGTTATGTTCATTTCAAATTAAATAATGGCAAACAACCCAATAGAAATATCATACATATATAACATATGTCCACGTCACAGATCAACCTATCATTACATTTCCTAGTACCCATATTTCTATAAATATCGAGGACTTTAAAATGCCACAAAAAAGAAATGAAAAAAATATTTCGTATAAAATTAATACAGTTTTACGTAATGCCTCTTAACTTTTAAATTGAAAAGTGTGAAACAAAAAGTTTCCACCCTAATCAATTTGCAAAAGCTTTTTTTCTTCCCTACATTTTTATTCTTAAAAGGCAATCCGGATAGGAATCAGTTGTGATAACTATTTCGAATTGTCTTACAAATGTCTTCAGGGTTGTCTATGAAATGTAAATGTTAAATTTAATATTAATATAACTGGGGGCCGATCGATTGTAGCTCGTATATTGACGAAGACCGCAAGATATTACGTTACAGCGATGTTCTAAGGGTTCACACATATACCCGATTATATATTTCACGCTAAATGTTTCTCAGTATACATTTTCGAAATACAAATTTGAGTATAGTAATAAAAGTGTTTTGTTTTTTACAATGCTATAAAAGACTTGACCTTCATGATACATCGTGTACTAGAATATTAGAAGAATTAAAGTATGTATATATGCATATAATTTTTTTTATATTCGACCTATATTAACATTTAAATAAATATTAAGTATTCACATAAGATTGCATGTGCAACGATTACCATATAAATATATGTATATCTCAGTTATGTACAAATAAAAGTTATACGCACACATATTTTAAGATTATTTTCTTATAAACACTAATAAATTACAAGTATTGCAACAATCAAAGTTATTGTGATCCTAAAAGAACAAAAAATAATATAAAGCGGTAAATTTTATAGCAAAATAATATTTTCACTCTATTAGCTTTACAGAAATTAACCTTTTTTTGTTTCACAATACAAATCTTGAACCGTTCAAAGAAATGACGAGGGTCGGCAAATATGCATTAAGAGATCCAAATGCTATTTCTATTTTAATTACTTTTTCATAGCGTTTACCCTTTTCAGATTTGTTTAATTCCAGATATAATTTAAGTATGATGGATGAATGATCAGTTTCCTCAAAAGATCTTAAAAAAAATTAAAATATAATTTACTTTTTCTAGAAAAATCGTTATAGCAAATCTTCGTGTATTAAAGCTGTCTCTAGTATACATACATCACAGATTTTGAAAATTACTCTTCTTAGTAAGTTAGTTCTTTTGTTTTGCATGAAAATAAGTTCAGATTGTGTTCGAATTCAACCCTTTTTACTTAAAATAACTCTACTTCCTTGGGGTTGAAATGGGGAGTCTCTAGTTTTATAACTTTGATTGTATTAAGTGTCTTAAAGAAGTATTGATAAAACATTGTTTTTATTTTTAACTACAAATTTTTATTCAGAAACAAACAATTATCACGTAGAACCAAAATATAGTTTATAGTTATGTTTTAAGAATAGAAATATTTTTATTAGGTGAATCGAATGAAATATTAAATCAGTTAAACTAAATATCAGCAATATTTCCTTTATTATATCATAACATAAATATAAAATATGAATATGTAAACTATACCTAAGTATCAAAATGTATTAATGTGTTACTGAAGAGTGTGCTAAATAAGCACTTTTGACACTGTTATCTCAATAAGTAAAACACTTCAAACTATCCTTTCAAACTTCCCAATTTGAAACCAATTCGAACGTCCTCCAACCGAAATTAAGTCCTTCTGTTTCCAAACCAAATGCTTGCGCCTAACAAAACCGCAACTCGCATTCGCAATATCTAGATTGATGTCCGAAACTGAATGGACCACTTTATGATGATCCCCAGCACCCCAGCATGACTTTGGATTCTGATCTTTGTGAGGATGACCACAAAAGTTCAGAGACCATAAAATAATGGATGCTCCATATCGCTGAATCTGTTTGTCATCATTCTATAGTTGGAATTTTAAAATTCAAATTGAATCCTGCCGTTGCGAGCACACGCTGGGAGTTAAAATATATTTTTGATATAATAATTTGTTGCTAGTGAAAAGCTAATACTATAAGATAATTGATGGAATAAGAAAATCAAATGGTTAAATCGTTTGATACAAGACTCATTTTCGCATATTGATTTAATTTCGTATAATTGTTGTATTTTTTTCTGATTGTACTCTTTTATACTTAAGTTCCGATAATGAATAAAAATATTTTATATATACTACAAAAAATGTGCGATACTTATGAATTAAACAATATTCTTTTGAAACTTTGTAATATAAATTAACATAAATTACAATTTTCCCTTGTCAGTGCTAAGGGTTTTTCAATGGTGTCATATTTTCCTTGTCTTATCCATATTTACGCGACCCTTAATCCAGCTGCCGTTGGAGATAGGGTTATTTTATTAATAGTAAATAATTTTATTTTTATAAAGGGTTACTCGATGTTAAGTCGTAAACGTATATTCGGGGTTATTAGGGTCCTGTTAAAAAGAGATAATATAGCTGAACTTAAGTGTACAACGATCAAATATACTAATATACTGATATATATATATATAATACTACAACGGTAAGATTTGCCAGTGCTGGTACATATTATAGTGACAAATCTTGTGTGTGAAACGTACAAAACAATTAAAATAAATCGTTTTTTTATGCTTTTACTAGATACTATTTGACTGTGAACATAGACGCTGTCACACTGTGATAATGTGAAGAAAGCTACTAATTAGTTATACTTCTAAAATAGCGGATGTGTTGCTTTTAGTTTTATAAGACTTTGAAATGGAGAGGATGATAAGAAACGTACAAGTAATGTCTCCATAAATTACACTATTAATTACGTAAACATCAAAACTATATATATATTAACAGAAAAATAAAGGTCACTGACATTTAAAGTAAGATCAAACAAGACTTAAAAGAATTAATCGCCATTTCTAATTTTATAACTCCAAGGCTGAACCTAAATAAATACCGTTTACATAGTGTAGGGAAATAAGGGATAATCCAAATAGACCCGCCCTTCCTTCCGTGGTCTAAAAAGCCACATGAATGTAAGTTAGTTGAAGAAACGATCCAAAAGGGATTTAACTTTAAACATGCATCATTACACACGAAACCTTTAACATGAAGTTTAAGTATTTCTTTTATAAATTACCGAATACAAAATCAATGGGGAATACTTAGTACTTAATCTTTCATTAAGGAAATTATAATTAAAGTAAACGATATAAAGTAAAGAAAGGTTAATAAGAAAAAGAGAATCAAAGAAAAAATAATATTCATTAATAAACTTATCCTTTGCGTGTTAATAACTGTAATGATAACATCGCATAGTAATTCACTTCAATACAACAAACATCGCTAACGAACCAAGCACATGAGACTCAGTGCTATAAACGTTCAACCGCCTAAGCAGGAGAGGTACATTGCAATATAACTCTTAGGACTTTAACAATAAAGATTGTATATGGATAAAGGACGTATTTGGGCATGTAAACCATAGCCGCAGTGCCCTGGCTCATTGGACAATTAGTGTGTGGCAAGAGCCTGGTAGATTGATTTGTTTTCAACCAATCTGTGACGGTGGAAGCACACAATTAATCGAGATTTCAGACTGTGTGACGTATTTGTGTTAAGACACGGTTCAGAAATTCCATTAATAATGGTTTAAATGTTTGACAGTGAAAAAGAACAGGGAATTCAATAAGACGGTAACGAGCCACTATGTTCACATAAACCATAAGAGGTATTTTTATTATCAAATTAGAAAATTAATATTAACTTCTTTGTATTTTCTAGTGCTTTGATATATTCCTAATTAAATAAATATAAAAACAAAACTGAAAATGTACATAAAATAAAAATCATAACAAATTATAATTACGATAGTTTTGAGATCAAGGAATTCATAAAGCGCAAAGAAAATGTTATACTGAGTATAAAATTATTTTACAACCAGTCGGTTTTCCCGAGGGTATGTCTCGGTGTAGAGGTATCTTGTATAGAATATTTCTGCGGAATAAAAAGCATTTCAATGTTTTAAAGATTATATATAAAACCTTAAATCGCTTGAAAAGAACATTGCAGTTAGAA